ATTCAGTTAACTGTTCAGAGTTTACCTACAATCAGATCTCACTACAAAGGAACAAAATTCTAGTCAAAGAGAAGATTTTAAAATAAAACAGACAGGAAAACATAGGAAGAAACTAAAGAATGTTGGCAGTAGTAACTGAAAAAACATCAAACCAAACTGGTAAAAACCCTTCACATTTTCTAACACACCAATTATTAGGACAGACCACAAAAAACTCATAGATTGTCTGAATCTTACCCCAGATTACCTGAATCTGCAATTCTAAACAGATTTGTAACTGTCTTCAAAATTTGGGTATGTTGGCAGTATTAGATAAGGTTATAGCATTCAAAGATTAGGTTGCACGATCATTCAAAATTTTCTAACACAATAATTATATTAATTAGAGACCATGAAAATTCATAGATTGTCTGAATCTCATAGTTTTTTTTTTTTTGTTTTTTGAATAATACCATTCATCATTAATATGAATAATCACCAATTTAGGTGACAATTAGCTCATCTAGTGCATTAAATGTATCATAACTCTATTGGGTAATAAATCATGGGGTCCACTATCACCTAAACTGGTGATAATCACCACTAATAATGAATAACATTACTCTATGACATGGACCTACGAAGGTCTAAGTTGCATATAAACGAAAATGGGATCAAAACGCGACATTGCATTTCACTTGAAACACTATATTTTAGAGAAGTAATATACGAAACTCTTTGAAAACATTGAAAAATCCTAACTTCACTTGAAACGCTGTGTTTTAGAAAGTAATATACAAAATGCTTTGAAAACATTGAAAAATCCTAATTTATTTTTATAAATTGATATTTAATTTTCAAAAATATTAATTCAAATTCTAATCACAAGTTCATTTAATTTTTTTAAGGACACTCGTTAGTTTTATTGCAGTTAAGAATTAAAATATGAGATATTTTAAATTTTTTTAAGGACACTAAGTTAAGTTGAAGCTTACAGTACTCCATAATAATGCACAGTTATTGATCCAAGCTTCAAATATTTTGGCCAAAAGTTTCCTATAACTTTTCAAAATGTATTTCCAAAATTTTCAAATTTTACTTTAAATTAAAATAAAAACTCCTTTTACAACTTTCTACAACGCTTTTGAAGACTTTTGGTTTCCTAAACATGCTCAAAATGGAATTATTAACGTCTTAAAGTTTCTATACATTCTAGACGATAACATAATGAATAAGTTTTTAGCTTATTTTTCTCAAAAACAACCCATCAGGCCATCAAGAAAGAAACAAAAATATTATTTTTGATTAAAGCATAAGCCAAAGTACAAGAAGTAGATAATAAAGCCACTATAATTTGCCGTTGTCTGAGAGAAATTGTGTTTGATTCATAATATTAGACAAGACATACTCGATATTATATATATCCAATTATTTTCTTTAGTACACTTATCAAACAGACAATCAAGCTATCAGTAAAGAAACCAAGATAAGTTTGATTGATTAAGAACATAAGGACAAGAATTACATAGTAATGCTATTATTAATCAGCCATTGGATGAGAGTGTTGGAATTTTGTATTGGA